TCATCTATCTATTTATCTGTATCTATCATCACCACCCTATGTCCCCATACACTTTCCCTGAGTCCGGATCATGTTCTAACTCATGTTCCCTCTGCCCTGGAACACTTCCATTCAGCTCTGAAGTCACGCCTATTTTTCCGACTTTTTGCAAGATGCTCCTCCAATCAATCAATAAGTTTGGCAAGTGCTGCATACCTCAGGCCCTCTGGGTGTTTGCAATGCATATTTATTCATAAAGTCCCTTAGAAGTCCTTGGGTCTAATGTATGCTATTCCCTCCCTCCTCACCCACTTCTGAATAACTAAATCTTTTCACTCATCTTTCAGGCTTCTGCTTAAATGTCACTTTCTTGGGGAAGAATTCCTTGGCCCAACCTAAGTGAGACCATGCTATAACTAATTTCCCTAGCACCTTCCACTCCTCCTACAACCCACCTGTCTGCTTTATAACTCCCCTAACGTCTGTATTTCCCACTGCAATGTTAGTTCCACAAAAAAGGGGACCACAGTTCTCTTTTTCTGTGTCTTATTCCCGGTGCACATCACAGTGCCTGGAATACAGTGGGTTCAGACATATTTATTGACCAACTAATGAAAAAACTGTAACTTTGGAAAACACTGCAACAAACAAATATTTTTGCCTTGAGAACTTTTCTCCCATTTTATAAAACAGACCTTGACTGGCCATGATGCATACTTTGTCCAAAATGCTGTGGTTTCCTTGATAAGCAACAAATCCAACCCATTGAAATCATCAATGACTCTTCTTGTTGCAAATCCAGAAATCCAGTTAAACAGATTAACAACAAAGGAGGCCAAAAGGTCTAGAGCTAAGACTAGCTTCCAGCAAGGGTTTATGCAGCAAGTCACATAATGTCACCAACGGCCTGGCTTCTTCCTGACTCCATTCTCTTTCTCCAGACTGCCTTCCAGGCTCCATCCCCAGCTTCCCTCCAGGCCATACTCTGAAGAGGAAAAAGAGTTTTCTCTTCATATCACACCGAGCGTCTTCTCAGCCTCCCGATGAGAGCTGGAGCTTTACTTTCCAAGAAGTCTTGCGTGTGACCTCCAGCCTCCTCGGCAATCATTATGATTTAATCTAATCAGGGCTCTCTCTGGGGCTGGGGCATCACCACAGACCCAAAGGGCTGAGAATAGGAGGGAGGAGATTTTTGTCCGAGGAAATGTAAGGTATTTTTTGGAATATGAAGTGAATGCAGGGTGGCTAGCAATCCTTCAAGTTCAGACTTCTCCAAGAAGACTTCCATGAAAACTCAAGTGTTGTGAAGTCTTCTTTCCATGATCTTCCTTATAGATGTCACTTGTCATCTGTAGCACAATGCCAGTCCTTCTGTGTGCAGTACACCATTGTCTTTTGAGAGAATCAGCTGTGAAAACCTGCTCTCTACTGCAAGGGTAGCTTATTTTCTTCATGACAAAGTATCCCAAAGCTGAGTGGGTTAAAAGAACCAACTTACTATGCTCATGGAATCTGTGGGTCAAGAATTCAGAACAGGTGAGGATAGCTTGCATCTCACATAGCTGACAGTTGATATCAACTATCAAGTAAAACCTCAGCAGGAACTGTCTATGGGACCTCTTCATGTGGCCTGGGCTTCCTCACAGCATGGCGGCCTTGGGTTTCCTAAATAGTTAATGACTTCAAAGATAAGTATCCCTAGAAAACCAGAGGGAGTCTTTCTTATCTTTTGTATCAGTCCATTTTCTGTTGCTACAATGAAATACTTGAAGTCAGATACTTATAAGGAAAAGAGGTTTGTTTAGCTCACAGGCTTAGAGGCTGAAAGTCCAAGACCCAGAGGTATCGTCATCCATTTGGCCTCTGCTGAGGGCCCCTTTGGTCCCATGACAGGAGAATGGGAAGGAAAACGTCTACAGGCAGAAGGGGCCAAGCATGTAGAGTGAGCTTGGTTAATTACAACCTGCTCTTATGAGAACTCACTCACTTCACAAGCCCAGCATTAACCCCTTCTTTGTGCAGCACCCCCAATAACCTAACTGCCTCTCACTAGGCCTCACCTCTTAAAGGTCCCATCACTTCTTAATGTGACCACAATGAAAACCAAGACTCCAGCACATAGATCCTTGGGGGACACACGCAAAACACGACACCTTTTACAACCTAACCTCAAAAGTCACACAGTGTCCCTGGCAGAGTAGCTACTTACTTTCTGTCCCATATAAAGTCCATTTCTCTTTGGGAGGAATATCTATCTATTTATCTATACCTATCATCATCACAAGTTCCGTTGTGAGATGAGTTTGGATTAGGAGGTATCATTGCTCTGTCTTTGGGAAATAGAACATGCCCCACCTCACTGCATATGTTAAATATCTTAAGGGCAAAGACTGCTTTAGAAATAGTACTTGGATCAGTCGTTCAATTAAAAAACAAAAAATGTGTCCATTATATATTACTGTCAATATCAAGGCTTCTCTGTCTGAAATGCTTAAAAATTCCATTAGAATTTGTGCAAGATAAAAGGTTGTACACAAGATCAAAATAGGGAGGGAGGTGCTAGGGATGAATTAAGAACTTAAGAACTTGAAATCATCACTTGACATATTTTGTTTTGGGAAGAAAAAGCCTCTAGGAACTATCTAAGCAGTTTTCCAACTTCTCCACCATCTAGGGCCCCCTCATATGGATTCTTTTTTTTGTAGTTTCTCAAAAGTTGCTACAAACTCACTCACCTCAGGATCTTTGCACATGCTGCTCCCCCTGTCTATACTTATAATCCTATTCACGTCTAACCTTCTGGAGGAGAGTTTCCTTGACAAATTTCTCTTTGCTAACACCATTAAATATCCCATCTTTGGAGGCACTGCATGGATACTATTTTTTATCTCCTCCGCTGAGCTATAATCTCCACAAAGGCAGAGACAAAGATCTTTCTTTACAATCGTTGTAATAATGGCACACAGAAGTCCTCAAAGAACAGGAAGCAGATTCCATCACTGCCCTACCCAAATCCCTTTGTCCTTATCTCTTTGGTCCAGTGTGGACCAACTTCCCAAGGCCAGCACCTGCATTCCTCTGCCTCAGCTTTCCCTGACCACCAAAGTCTTTTTTAACTACTCCAGGAGCAGAGCAAAAGTTCCAGAAAATCCATGTTCCCCTGGAAGCAGTCTTCAACCAATGATTGAAGGGGATTGGTCTCTCACCCCTTGGGTAGGATAACTTTAGGGCATGTATTCAGAGAGAGGTTCCAAAGCATGACTAAGCTCCCTCAGTGGCAGCTGACTCAACAATGCACCCTTTCTCAGCGGCCTTCCTTTCTCTGTCTTCCTTCCTCACTTTCAGAGTGCCAATCAACTCCTTGTTCCCGAATTCTTGACTCAGGAGTTTCTTCCCTGGGAAGCAACACTGGAACACAAAATGCTGGCTGAATGAATGAGTGAGTCTCCTTGTCCCTGCACCCACTTAATCTACCACAGCTGGTGCATGAAAACTGATTGCCAGCAGCTACACACATTCCGAGCCAGGGAGAGCACATACACAGCAGGAAATATTCAAACCCTCATTTCCACCTCTACTGACATTTGTAATCGAGACACATGCAAAGGAACGTTATTTTACTTTAAAAGTGGCGCTGAATGAGATGATTAAATCAGTAAATAGCATTGCACCTGTGAATGGAATTAGCTCTAGTAATAGACAAAGACGGGTGAGATTCATTGCCAGACAAAGAATACTACTTGCTTTTCATCTGCTTGGCACTTGACTGGTATTAAACAGCCCTTCCATCCTGCTGCAGAAATGGAGACTAAGAGCCACTCCAGGTGGGTCCCCAACAATGGATTGGATGCAAACGTTGGAGAAGGAGAGGAAATTCGGCACGCCTTTCCTCTCTTTCCTCTGCAAACTGTGGCTATAATTTGGACAGGGTGCAGTGGGTTACTTATAGCTCTGGGGTCTGTGAGGATGCTCCTCTTTCATGGCCTGCCACTTCCCTCTTCAACTTTCCATCTTCTTCTTTTCCTTTCCAGTTAATTAATAGGTGTTGGCTGAGCGCTGGAATAATGTTGCACTGGTTCTATGGGAGATGAACACTAGAGAAGCTTGACATCATGTGGCTTCATCCTGCAAGGAGCTCTCTAAGCTCAGAAAATCAATGTTCCAAGATTTGGAGTTCTCCTTGAGCTACAACCCAGCTCTATCTCTATGGGTGGAGGCAAAAGAGGAGCCGTAAGCCCAGGGGAAAAAAAAAATGGGTTTTGCACTTCTCTCCCATCCAGAAAACGATCTTAAAATTTACTTGAATAATCCTTGACAGGGTAAAGAAATCGTAAGAAACCTAAGAACTCAAAGTATTGAAGAAGAGAGAGCAGTTTTTTCCCACAAAGTGTGACCCTGCACATACTTGAGCTGGGCTTGCATTTCTGACTATTTGATTCGGTCCCCTCCTCTCCACGGCTGATTGACAGGTCTGGGTTTCAAATGCTCTCCTCTCGAATTCAATCATCCTCCCATTTCACCAATCCAAATCTTACTTTGGGACCCTTCTATTTCCACCCAGTGGCTGCAAGTGGCCTCCAGGGGAGGTAATGACAGCTTGCAGAGGCCCAAGGGAGGCAAACAGAGCCCCTGCCTCATTTCAAGGAGTCTGCTCTAACCTGGCACCGACTCATGGCAGCATCGTGAATCCAGTGATGTCACGGCTTTCGATTTTTTCCAAGAGCTGCCAGAAGGGAGCTGACTTTCAAAACTTTATAAAAACTTAAGAAAAACAAACCCTTAGAATTTAAAGAAAAAATAACAAGCAAACTCATGGTCAGCAGTTTGTAAGCTTCAGTCTACAGGCAAAGTTTAAGCCTTTAGTTGGGTACGCAAAGCCCTTTATGATCTTGTCAAGTTTCTGACCCTGGCATCCTGAACTGCTTGTCAACTCTTTTGTCCCCCAACCCCTAGCCCCCCCCCCCACACACATCCTTGGTAGCCCAAGTTAATAAGTACAAATGACAGGGGAGGAACAGATGTATGCAGAGCAAATGTGTCATTTTTACTTAGAAAGCTTATTTAGGGTGGCCTTGAAGGGTGCCGAAGATGATGAGGGTCACCAAAGCCCCTTCCACCCCTCTAACAAGAATGTCCTAGTCGCTGGTCCACCTGACAACGTTGCACTCACTCTTCAAAACTCGCTTGGGGCGTCATCTTCTCTTCCTTCAAGGCTTTCTTCTCTCTCCAGGAAGAATCACCCTCCACCCTGGGGCCTTGCAAGCGCTGTCGCAATTCCACCTGTCATTCGGGGAGTCTCTACGGCCCTCCCAAGTCTGAGTCTCAGGGACTGTGAACTCTCTTGGGCTTGAGGGCTGCTGCGTCTTGCGGTACTTGGGTCCTCCATCTGGCTCGCAGAGACCTCCCTCTACTTCTGTATTCCGACATCGACACTCGTCCATCCCACTTCTGCAAACACACCACACATCCCGTAGCTTCTCGTGGAAATGAAACCAAAAGGAGAACTGAGAATTCAACCCTGCCAGGCTCGTGAGTCACCACCTCCTTCCAGAGCGCACCTCGCCCGCCACCTGCCTAACCCACTTATGTAACCCAGTTTGGCATTTCGGATCCCTCCCTCCTCCGCCTGCGAGGCTGGGCAATGGGCCCACCTGCTGTGGGGTCAGGGGACTGCCGCGGGAGGGGGGGGGAGCAGGTGGACAGCGGGGCTCGATCGCGGCAGAGCTGCGCCCGGCCAGATTGGAAAGCAGAACCCCTTGGTGGGAACGCCTGAGCGCGCACCTGGGCTGCAATAAGATCAGCAGGAAGGAGAATCAGCGCGCTCCCAGGTGCGGGCGAGTGCGCGCTACTGCCGCGTGGGCAGGGGCTGTGGGGTGCCTTACAGGGATGAGCTCAGCTCCCTAATAACCGCTGGGGGTTTCTGGAGAGGAGGAGTCACGGGAAAGGCCTTGACGGTGTGGATGAAGCAAGCTTCTATTTTTGGTGCAAGCCCAGGGGATTAAACAAGGAAACGCCTTGACCTTGGGGGCTGGGAAGCAGCACGCATTCTTTTGCTCCTGTGCTTAGTCCCAGCCAGGCCAGCCCCACGAACAGAGAGAAGGTCCGTCATCCCCAAGTGCCTGGCCAGGTGAGGAAGGAATTCTGATTCCAAGATTCATCCACATCCTGCCCTCAAAGGAAGCCATGTAAATCCACAGGAAGAAGGGGGTGGCCCCCCTCTTTCCTGGAATCACAGGCTCAAGCAGATTTGCACTGGGGTAGTAAAAAGTAGTTGGAAAGATAAATGCACCTTTCTGGCAGAAAATAGACCTTGTCCCCTTTGATATTTTGGAACCCTGAGGGAAATATCTTTTTCTGTGCTTTATTACTATATTTACATTATTTCAGTTAATCTCAAGACCACCTTTTGGGGTAGGTACCATTTTTCACCATGGAAAACTCACATTTGCTCCTAGAACAGGTCCTCGCTGCTGGGGGTGAGGTGACCACCGCCCTCCTTTACTCCAGGTGGGCTTGCATTCATCCATCTGTGTGGTGACCTCGGAGGAAGGGCCAGGTGGGTCAGGTGGGAGGGTGAAGAGCTGGCAGAAGGTAGGGATGAGGTGGTATCTTCCACCTCTAAGGGCTTCAATCTGGTTGGAGTGCACTTGGCAATAGGAGGGCCTGGGGCTTATGGAATTTTGCAGGAATGACTCAGGGATTCCAGATCTGGGCAGAGTTGCTGGCTGCATTTAGAGAGGAGGACACCACTCTCCTTTGCTGCATACAAACAGCACTGCTCTGGTGCTTCTAGGATGGGAGCCTCGGATGAGTGTTGAAATAGCACCCTTGCCTGCACTTAGCAATGCAATGACAAAGACTGCAGACATGAGGTGCCAGGAGGGGACCAGGTGGGGAACAGGTGCAAAACGGTGAGGGTGGGGGTGTGACATGTCGGTGCAGGTGCCTGCCACTGCAGACTGACTCAGGGCACATGAGACACCCCCTTGGGAGACACAGAAACAAGCAGGGACACTGGGAAGGTGCATTCTGTCAGCCAGACTGGGAAGGGAGGTGTTCAGGCAACTCTATAATTTGTCATTAAAAATAAATGTGACTTATATTACAAACACAGGCCCCTGAGGTCACCTGGGCACCTGAATCGTGCCATTATTTAAGATCAGGAAACAGATTCAACTCAGGACTTTAAAGTTGCACACTGCTGCTGTGATGTGGTTTGTTCCCCAAGGATTATGTGCTGGAAGCTTGGTCCCCAGTGTGGCAGAGTGAGAGGTGGTAGCCTAGGGAGACCCTTAGGTCACTAGGGGCACTACCCCTGAAAGAGATTAATGTAGTTCTCACAGGACCCAGCAATTAGTTTTTGCAAAAGCAACGTTTTGAAATTTTTTATTGGTACATCATAATTATATACAGTAGTGGGATTCATTATGCCATATTCATAACATGCACATAACACCATATGATCAATCTCATTCCCCCGAACCTTCCCTTTCTCTCCTTCCTCCCTCCTCAAGTCCATTTGCTCTCCTCTACTGATCTTTCTTCTTCTTCTATTATTATTATTATTATTATTATTTAAAGCATTATAATTACATACATAAGAGGGATTCATTGTGGCATATTCATACATGGACCACATAATTTGGTAGATTTCATTCCATAGGACTTTGCAATGCCCTCCCCTCTTTACTTTCTCTCTGTCCCTTTTCCTCTACTCCATTGGTCAAAAGCAAATTATTTTAAAAAGAGCAAGACTGACCCTAAAATTCTCTAGCTTCCTGCCTTATCATGTGATCTCTCCCTTGTTTTCCTGGTAGCACCATCACCTTGTTGTTTTTCAGCCAAGTGGAATCTCACCAGAGCTGGTGCCGTGCCATTTGAACTTTCAGCCTCCAAAACTGTGAGGTCAATAAACCTGTTTTCTTTATAAAGTACCAATCCTTGAGTATTTTGTTATAACAACAGAAAATGAACTAAAACACACTACTAGGCAGAAGCACAGTTAGGATTTGAAAAAGACTCTTCCTAATCCCCCAGGAGAGCATTGCAGTCTATGACTCCAGAATTGTCCATTCCTGTTACAGGTCCACCAGCCTCTCTATGTACAAAATATAATTGTATTTGCATGTTTGTTTTTCGCCTTGGCTTTTCCACCTTATAATGAAATTTATATAGAATCTACTGCTAGCAACTTTACTAAAACAATTAATAGGGCCAGTCAGGAAATACATATATATATGAATATAAAGATAATTCATTTATAAGGCAAAGTATTCCATTTTAAAAAGATGCTGGAGGAAATAGGCGTGTCGATGTTGCAGAGAAACCTAAGAATTATTGCTTATGTGAATTGAGTAACTGTTGAGGTTTGTGGTTTGTTTGTCTTTCAAGAATAACACTCTGGAAGACTTAATAATGTTAAGATAGCAATACTTCCTGAATTGATCTACAAATTCAGTGCAATCCCTCTCCATATCCCAGCTTCCTTTTTTTTTTTTTTGGCATCAATTTACAAACTGACTCTAAAAATTCATATAGAAATGCAAGGGACCCAGAATAGCTGAAACAATTTTTAAAACAAAACAAAGCTGGAAGACACAGACCTCCCAATTTCAAAACTTATGCCCAGTTTGAAAAAAGACTCTTCCTAATCCCCCAGGAGAGCATTGGGGCACCGGCATAAGGAGACACATACACTGAAAGCACAGAAGTACAACCGTATATTTATAGTTCATTGATTTTTTTTTGAACCAACATGTCAAGACAATTCAAAGGGGAAGAATAGTCTTTTCAATAAATGGTGTTGGGATACCTGGAGATCCTCATGTCAATCAATGAAGTTGGACCCGTACTTCACATCATCTACAAAATTAACTCAAAATGAATCAGAGACTCCAGTGTACATGCTAAAATTATGAAATCCTTAGAAGAAAACAGGAATAAATCTTTATGGCCTTGCATTAGGCATCAGTTTCCTAGATCTGACACCAAAAGCATGAGGCATGAAAGAAAAATAGATAAAGCCAACCTCATCAAAATTAAAAACTTTTATGGTGCACAAGGTAATAACAAGAAGGTGAGAACAACTCATAGAATGGGAGAAACTATTTTCAAACCATCTATGTGATAAAGGTCTAGTGTTCAGACTAGATAAATCTTATAACTCAACCATAAAAAGACATAAAAATTTTAAGTGAACAAAGGATTTGAGTAGAAATGATTTGCAAAGCTATACCAAAGAAGAGATGCAAATTGAAGTATTTAATGGAAAAAGATATTCATGCATCATCAGGAAGATCCAAATCAAAACCACAGTGAGATGCCACTTCACACTTTCTAGGATGACTGTTATCAATATGATGGACAAATGAAAGTTGGGGGGGGGTGGAGACATTGGAACCCTCATACACTGCTGGTGGAAATGTAAAATTATGTTTCTCTTTGGAAAATATGTGGCCATTCTTCAGTGAGTTAAACATGGAGTTAAATAGTAATTCTACTCCTAGGTGCATACCCAAAATAATTAAAAATCGATAACCCTGCAATAACTTGTACACAAATGTTCATGTCAATATTCACAATAGCCAAAGAGTGAAAATAACTCAAATGTTATTAATAGGACTTTAATGATGAATGGATAAGCAAAGTGTAGTATATCCATATGATGGAATATTATTCAGACATAAAAAGAACGATGTATGTATACATTTGATAATATGGATAAAGATTATGCTAAATGAAATAAGATAAACCCCAAAGGCCAAGTATTACAGATTCCAGTTGCCTGAAGTCTAGACAGACAATCCATAGAAACAGAAAGTAGGTCAGTGTTCACCAGGGGCCGGAGGGAGGCGAGTGTGGGGAGTTGACACTAACAAATAGGGGGCTCTTTTCAGGGGTGATGAAAATATTCTCGAATTAGTGGTAATAATTGAACAACTTTGTGTTTATATTAAAATTCACCTGAACTACATAATCTAAAATAGCGACCTTCATGATGTTACTTATATATCAATAATTTGTTTTAGAGGTCAAAAGAGAAAAAAAATAAAACCTCAAGAAGTGTATTTTCTGGTCCATCAGCACAGCCAACAGTTCAGGAGACATAATCCCCAGACACTCAAGAAAATTGGAAGATATGCCTCCTGCAGAGGAGTAGGGGGGCCCTCCATTGTACCTTGCATTAATCAAAGTTCTCTGGAGAGACAGAATCGATAGGATATATAGATACAGATAGGAAGATAGGTGATAGATAGATAGATAGATGGAATTTATTATGGAAATTTGGCTCACGTGATCATGGAGGCTGAGAAATCTCATAATAAGCTGTCCACAGGCTGGAGAACCAAAGAAGTTCCTAGCACGGCCCAGTCCATGTTCAAAGTCTAAAACCCGGTTACAAAGACCAGAGAGCTGGAGTTCTGATGTCCAAGAGCAGCAGAAGGTTGTAACAGCTGAGACAGGGGTTGGGGGGCGGAGAAACTTGCCTTACCTTGGCTTTTTTGTTTTGTCAGATCCTCTATGGATGGGAGATGCTCACCACACTATGTGAGGATGAAGCTTCTTTTAGTCCCACTGATTCAAATGCCAATCTCTTCCAGAAACACCCTACAGACACACCTGGAAAGTCTTACCAGCTATCCCTTCAACTAAAGTTAGTCATCACATCCCTCATGATGGGACAGCTGTGCACCCCCACCCAGAGCTGGTGTGAAGAAGGACTTCCCTTCAGTCTCCAAGAAACTCAACCACCCCTGGCCCACAGTTGACCTCCCGTGTTGTTGCAGTCCACACGCCACACTGTGCCTAAGAAATGCAAGGGGCCTTGATGCACGACCCAGGTCCAAAACCTGCATGACCTTGGAGAATCCTGACTGGAAAGGAAGCCATCCCACGTTGACAAACAGGTTCACGGCAGCTCTTCTTTGACGATGAAAAACTGGAAACAACCCTGTGAAAATCACGGAGCATCCTTCCAATGGGATAGAGTGGAGCTCCTGAAAGTAATGGCTACAAAGAGCTTTCGGGCCATAAACTTAGATTAAGGAAAGCAAAACATATGATACAAGATACCAAATCTTATTTGCATTGTGTTCTCAACTCTGAAGATATATGTCTATGTGTACACACACATATATACATATACATGTATATTCATATATATGTGGGGATATATATATACATGTATGAAATATGGGGAAAATGCCAATATTAG